CGCGGTTCAGGGAACTGTCCAGCTACCTCGGTATTCTATGAGATACGAACTGTTCTACATGGATACCGTGGTGGACTGCACTCAACTGTTCCAAAGTTGCCAGGAACTGGTCTCTCGGAATGAGATCCTTCGAACTGTGTTCGTGGAGCATGAGGGGGTCTCATTGGGAGTAGTTGTCGACGACCTTCCCTGCCAGATAATTGAATATGAGATTGAAAGTGATGTGGAAGCATTCAGCCAGAAGCTCTGCGATGTGGATGTTCAGTCACGCATTCCTCTTGGATCACCATTTTTGAAATTCCTCTTCGTTCGGCATGTCGAGGGCCCCAGCAGCCTGATCATGCGCATCTCCCATGCCCAATACGATGAGATCTGTCTTCCGATCTTGCTGCAGCAGCTCTCGGCACTGTACGAGGGACGACCGGTGCCGAAGAGTTTGCCATTCTCATCGTATGTCAGCCACGTGACCCGCACTAATCTGCCAGTCAGCATTCCGTACTGGCGTGATCTCCTTCGAGGTTCGTCTATGACGCGGATCCAGCCCGACATCCCTGTGGTGTCTGCAGCTCATTTTGCCATCTCCAAGGATGTCAATATAGCCGCGCGACCACGGGAAATCACAGTCGCAACCCTCCCTACAGCGGCTTGGGCGCTGTGCCTTGCGCGACGCTTATCCCTTGATGATGTCACTTTTGGCGAGGTGGTGAGTGGCCGCAACATCGACCTCCCCAACGCTGATGCAATTGTTGGACCATCGTGGCAGTATGTACCAGTGCGGGTGAAGTTTGGAGATGAATGGAGTGCCATGGATCTTTTGCGGTTTGTCCAGCGACAACATCTCCAGAGTGCTCAATTCGAAGGAATCGGTCTTAAGGAAGTTATCAAGGATTGCACCGACTGGCCGGAGACCGTGGACTGGTTTGATTCGGTCGTGCACCAGGACGTTGAGCACGTTGAGGGTCTGTCTTTCATGGCGGCCAGTAGTCGTATGCAGACCATCTACCCGCATTTCGAGCCATTGCGGGAGATCAAGGTGCAGACATTCCCCAGGGGAGATACTCTGTGCATTGAAGTTGTCACTGTCGAGTCATGGTCGGAATTTGCTGTGTCTTTGCTCGATGAGGTGGTCGACACTATTGGACAGTTGGTGAACCAGGTCCATTCCAGGATCTTGTAAATGGGGTAGCATTTAATAGTTGCTAGGCTCTTTTATTCGTATCTGTTAATTATGAAATTTTGAATTTGATTTGGAAAATCCCAGTGCTTCAGTAAAGTAACATCAATGAATTGCAAAGGTGTTTCCCGGCCAAACTAATATTAGTAATATTGATGCCTGAATATGCCTGACTATTTGCCGGCAGAAAATATGCATACCTGAATTACCATAACCGAGCCCTTAGTAAGTAAAGTAGTTGAAATCTATGAGGATGGATGGCGATTTGTACGGTCGGATTTGTACGGCTAGGATCGATGAGGATAGATAGTGACATAAGGTCAGGGGGCAGTGGAATCGATGAGATTAGCGGAATGTATGAGGGCTTCAACGCCTAGAAACAGAAGATTTCAAAGATTTGTATGGTGGGAATAGCTTCAATATTACCCGGGACATCTGGAGGCTTCCATTTGTACGGGCGACTAATGGGACCACCCCTACATAACCCTCTGATTGGATACTGCCTTACCGCCTTTTCATCACCGCCTTCTTAAGCATATATACTAATTTCAACTTCTCTTTTATTTCTACACACACTTTACAATGGTACGACCAACCATCGATCTTAAATCCTTAAAGATGAGATCATCTCTCTTTCTAAACCGGTGTAGCTTTCCAGTCCATATGCAATACTCTACGCGATACACATACCCTTATTGTTACACCCTATAACAATAAGGAGGCGCATTGAAACATGGGGAGTTGAGCGAATCCCAAAACAACCATATACAACTTCAAACCATAGACACTTATCTTCTAAGTTAGCCTTTGTAATCGACAAATAACAATTACGCTTTAGACCGAAGGCTTTAATATAAGCGTTCTAGAGTGGAGGGGGAGAGAAGGGGACGATAACATAGTAGGAAGGCTTCAACGCCGAAAAGTAAGGGAATCCTAGGATTTGTATGGTACGAATAGCGTCAACAATTAGTGCCCATTTTCTAAGGCATGAGGGTCATCGACCTCATAATTCAGGTATCAAGGCACCTTCAGGCTTCAATATTACTAATAACTACATAATCAGTTTTTGTAAAGGTAGAGTGGATCGAAACTACTGCCGGCAATATAAACCAATCAGAGGGTTATGTAGGGGTGGTCCCATTAGTCGCCCGTACATTTGAGAGCTTCAGTTACAATACACTGTGCCAAAGGCGGTATATAATAACGCTTCTTAAGGCATCTTTAGGCATCTTTAGGCAGCAATATTAGTAATAATTGGTTTCCGACCCCTGGCCGGGATACACTTTCGCAGTGTGATGAATAAATAGTACAGGTACAGGGATATACATAACTAGTTCTCGCGATATTTAAGATGTCATTGTACGTAGCTACGGGCGACGTAGCATATTTCCTTTTATCAATTTGGCTAAATCTAGTAGAGTTGTAACACTTCGCGAATGGTCGGATATAGCTTCAATATAAATCTGTCGTGAATATGGGATCTGGACAATGGATACTGAGGAAGAGATAAGTGGCCTACTCCTGAACTCGCTGTTTCCTCCAAGTCAAGAATACAACATAGAACTTCTCCCTATTTGCATCAAATTGAGAATGATTCTCAAGACTAACATCGCGACCGCCGCCCAAGTCAGATTGAGGATTAAATGGCACTAAAGCCGGGGCTGCAGGAACCGGCTCCTGTTCCTGGACAGTTTGAGATTCTGAGCCAGCCCCAGTATCGACCGGCCATGCAGGTCTTTGGCTTTTCAACTCCACCTCTTTCGCCCCAGCCCAAGTATATGCGCTCTTTGAGTTGGGGTTAGCGACCAGATATAAGCCCTTGTCAGCAACGATGGGAAACTTCCACTCTAGCGCTTGTTGTATGATGGCATCTAGCTGGTCCCTCTTCCGCATGATTGTCTCAAACTCAATCACTAGTTCATCAAGACAGGGGATAGAGCTAAATTGATTCCCCCATGATCGGGCTGCGACGTGCGGGCAAACATCCTTTCCCATATCAGCCGCGCGGGTTCTCCCGGGCCGGAACGGATTGATGCCTAGGGGGTCATTGTTCTCCCAGTACCACCAGTCCGTGTGGCGAAACGTGATAGTCATCTTCTTCGGCGCGATCCTGCACTCCCCTCGCAAACTGCACCCGTCGTCGCCTATCTTTAGCCCTTCCCATATCTTGGACCAATGATTGTCCTCTAGGAAATACTGCTGGGTGAACATGTGTAGATGCTGGACCTGAGCCCGCTGTTTTGGGGTCATCTTGCGAAAATAATTCAGCGGCGACGAGGCATCATTGACATGTGGTGGGGATCGATAGAACCAGAAAGTATGCTCATTCACTGCTGATGGGAGGAGGGATGCCTCGGCGTAGATTTGCTGGCATGTCTGGAGGAGCGCAGTCTGGATGCGCTTGGGTTGCTTGTACCCGGGCCGGTAGTAGAAAGCATTTTGCTTATAGAGGGAGCGAGAGCTGTCGTCTGTGAGATTATCCTCGGATTCAAGGACAAGGGTATAAATGCGATTGCGGATCTCAGCGGGAAAGACGGTAAATAGAGGGGATGTCAATGGGCTTGCAGGTAGAGATGGGACAAGGTCCTTGTGTGTCTCCAATCCCTGTATACGGCGCCTTTTTGATAGTCGACTCGAATGCATGTTGTGAGTAGAGTTATGGACATGTAAAAGAGCATACCTACCACTCTATATATACACGGAGGTCACAAGTCAGAGAAACCCCGCTAGAAGTGGATTAGCCCCATGGGTGCCTAGAAATGTCTCATAGTTGAGCCGCAATGTACGAAGGTGCATAGCGCTCACGGGTCGCATGATGTCATTGATGCCTTGATGCCTGGATTTGGCACGGCAGAAAAATACAAATACCTGAATTGCTATTACAGAGCCCTTAGTAAGCAAAGCCAGCTGCCCCCCGGTGGTTCTGGTAGCCTGAGGCAGAGCAGAAAAATGAGGTTTTTCATGCCATACAAGATCATGCATCCTCACTTTATGGGATGGTTTACATTGCACTTTGTTTAATGAAGCTTTTCATACCATACAAAATCATGCATCCTCACTTTGTAGGGTGGTTTACATTGCACTTTGTATAATGAAGCTTTTCATGCCATACAAAATCATATAACCTTACTTTATAGGGTGGTTTGCATTGCTCCATTATACAAAGTGCAATATAAACCACCCCATAAAGTGAGGATGCATGATTCTCTCTGGCATGAAAAGCTTCGGTATCGGGCCGAGTAGTTAATCCGTGCCGGCATCATTTACAGTACACTGTATAGAGCGGTGTCAAGAGCGGTATGACTTTAAGGCTAAAACCGGGAATTCAGGCATCAATGCCGTCATGTGACCCGTGAGCGCTATGCCCGCAATGCAATGCCTTGCTGTCAAGAGGAATTGATGTGATAACGTAAACCATGCTGAAAATAAAGAATAAAATAAGAAATACGGACTTTCATTTGCGCTGGATTGAAACTTGGAATGTATCCGTTATTGATGCGACCAACTTCGAGATCCCTTAGGGATTTCTCACTTCTTGCCCTTCCTCACCTTGTATGACTTCATGCACAGTTCTAAACCCACTAGACTCTTCGCTAGTAGGTTAAATACTAGATTCGTAGTCGTAAGGGACTAGCTACTACCTATCCTACAGTTCACAATGACCAGACTAATATTTAGTAAATTCTATGAAACTTTTTCACTGTCAAATTTGACACTAACACAAACAAGGAGACAAAAGGTCATAACTATATATCTCACATTAAAGACCGCAATGTAGGTCATATCATATGTCGTAACTGGCTCAGAATAAAACAAAAAGGGAAAATCATGAATCGAAGATTGGCCCGTAGGCTGGAATCCCTTGGGATTCAAACTCGTATACAATATCTTGAGTCATCTTGGGGTTGCTGATCACAAACACTGCCTCCGCTTCGAATTCCTTCAGTTGCTGACGCACGACAGGAAGCATGTCGACACGGCCGTCACGACTGGTATCGAAGATAATCGGATCTGGGCCCATCTGATGGACGAGATCAATAACATCCTGGCCGTAAGTTTGCAAAGGGTTACGTGTCTGCCAAATGACCTTGATCAAGGGCCGGTTTTTGTCGCCTAGGAATCCGAGACAGGGTCCTATACCGGAGCCCGTGGTCACTATGATAATGCGGTCGAAGACACGTAGACCATATCCGACGCCGCGCATCAGCGACCCGCGCTTCCAGAGGTGGGTTGGCGGTTCACGGATGGTATCGGCTGTCCAGTCCCCTGCTTTTGATACCACGATAGACCAGCTCCTCTTGTGTCCGTGGCCCTTCGCAAATGGCTTCTTGCCACGTGCGTGTCTGGCAACTGGCTTCTGAACATCTGGAATGGGGTCTGGAAATCCGGCAAAACTGTGCCAGTCGCGTAGAGGATGCTTTGAGACTTGAACACCCTTCGCAAACTCGATTGGCTTGAAATCGAAGGATAGTCGTACAGCATGTGAAGACAGTGGCTCGGCCCTTACTGGAACTCTCCGCAATAGTAGCCATGGGTGGGCCACGGCGACGATAGCCGCGATTAACAGCCAAAATGCAGGTAGAGTGACGAGGAAGTGACCAAGGGTTACCTGCTCAGCCTGGCTTGATTCATGAGCGAATATCATGACTAGGGCCACGAAAAGAGCCAGAATCAGCCATGAAGTGAATCGGTGGGTGAGCTCAAAGTAATCATGCATTCTCCTGCGGAATGTGGGGTATGCCACGACTACCATCACGAAAAGCAGCACAAGAATGATGTACGCGACGGCGATCGGCGCTGGTGAGAACTCGGCATCTGTCTCTGTGCTGATGGGAGAATTTGTCCAATACATCTGTGACAACAAGGCAACGAATCCAATATACCACACCAAAGATGCAGTGCCACAGCCACTGTGGACACCACCGTAGTGGGCTGCCTTAGCGCACCTTCGGCGCAGAGACAGGGGCGCAGTTCGAGGAATCGAGCATATCACTCTGTAGATAGCATTGACCATCATTGGGTGTCGAGCGAGACCGCATGCGACCAAGTTTACGGCTGTCGCATTCACGAGTGCCAGAAGCTGCCGATCGGAGATCATCACGTAGAGAAAAACTGCGAGATTTGCGCAAAATACGACAGTGAAGAGCCGTCGATAAACGGTGAATAGGACATATCTGAAGTGCGCAAACCGCTTTCGTCGGGGCTCTGTGGGCTGAGCCTCCAGATCAATCACACCGGGGGACTCGTTGCCATTGGATGAGTCCTCGTTGGGAGAGTCGTTATCAATGACCTTTTCAGGTTCTGGATCAATGGCCAGGTCATCATCTATGATAATGATTTGTTCAGAATTTGGGTCAATGGCCATGTCATTATCTACCCCAATGCCCTGTTCGGAATCAGGAACAATGGCCTTGTCATGATCTACGACAATGGCCTTGGCCGGGGGTGTCGGCATGCATAGATCGTTCTTTTCAGGGTCCGCCATAGCTAGAAGTAAAAAGACGGATGAGGAAGAAGGAAGAAAAATAAATTGGATACGGCAGCAGAGTGTTTTATTGCAATTTTATTTTTCCCGTGTGGAAGACTAAACGACGCCTTACACATTTTAGTGCATAGAGGATTTCCCTATGAAAGTCACCCACGGAATCCTACAGTTCCCGGCTATAGAACTAAAGTAATGGATCCATGAAAAGGCTCCATGGTGTGGAGATAGCCTATGTTGTACAGACATATGGAGTACAAAGTACGGAGTAATAGGTCAATAGTGGCTTGCCTTGCTTGACTCGATGGGAACGTGGACGGGCCAGCCCAAGACCCACATTTTACCCCTTAGTGCAGCTGCTTCGAAGGCTTTTTTTCCATTTAGGGTTGTTTTGAAATTCGACCAAATTCGGAGTTACCTCGGTGATGTAACTGGACAGACGCCGACCTTGGTAGATCTCAACACCACCCGGACACCGAAAGCTCATATATTAGTACATAATAGTGGTGGGGTTTTTCCTTCTCGCTGAAATGAAACCTAAAATTGAGATCTGTGGAACTAGGGAAATCAAAATGAACATGTAAAGGATCGGGATGCGTGGTGGAACCCATAAAAGTTACATAGTCGACAAGCGGGGTTTATCGCTTTGCTTCACAATCGGCATGCACTGATTCTCCCACCCCTGCTGAAACAAGGGAGACCGTGCAGCAAACACAGGTTTGTTAACAGGGCAACGTGTCCTCCGTACTCCGTACGGAGTCCACGTTCCTTGCTATCATTCCCATTCGGGTGTGAGAGTGAGAGTAAGAGTGCAGAGCAGAGGTCTCCACCCTAACCCGCTCCACAGACTTCCAAAAACACGGTGTTTCTGTTGATCAACATGATCGAGAAGTGTCGATCCAGTTCCCGATGTGTTGGGACTGTGGACTGTCATTTAGTGGAGCTATGGACGAAGCTGAAGTTGTTCACGCTTGGTCCCCCTCACTACATTGAAATAGCGTCTCTCACCCCAGCTATTGCATATTGCATGATTCTGCAATGTGAACAGCGGGGCTATCCGCCATGCAATATGCGAGGTTGCTCCAAAGATAAACGGTCGGATTATCCCCCTTGGCATGTGAGTTGATGACGGGGCTGGACTCGGACCCACTCGCGGCACGGGCTCTCAGGACGGCAAGTCTTGGCATTTTCGAATATTTCGTACATTTCGTATTGAAAACACTGTATTGTAAATAAAAAACACATATACTGTATATTTGAACTATTGAACTATTGAAACATTGAACCAGCCAAAATTGAGAAAAACGCTAAAAAGCAAGAAACATGACGGTGGAAATGGTTACCCTTAACCTAAACCACACTCAGTATGGATCATCGGACAGTTCCTCAGCTCTCTTCAGCTCGGCACTGAGACAAATGAACTGGTAGCGGCAATTTTCCTTGCTAACGCCTTGGTCGGTTGCGAGCCAAGAAATTCGAAAGAGGACAGTTCTGCTCCCAGTTCGCGAGAGACCCAGTTTTGGACGGCTGTAGCTTTCAGGGAATCAACTAGAGGCCAGTATTAGTCAAATGCAAGATCACCGTGGGGAAATATTACGCAGGAAAAAAAAAACGTACCACCTAACGCAGACAATGGGAGATCGGAGTCGATAGCATCAGCGGTTGTAGCCATTGCATCTGCTAGATATTCACTCAGAGCGTTGAGGACAATCTCAGTCGCAGCATCGATAGAATCGGACTCCTTAAGTAAGGTGCTGGTCTGAATAGAATCCTCGGTATTCTCAACAGCGAGACAAAGCCGGTGATCAAACTTTCGATCGAGAACCCAGCCCGTAGACCCATTGCTGCGAGACAGGGAGTCAGTCATGCCAGCAATAATCTGAGACGGAAGAGAAAGTTTGCTGTTGATGATCACTCGAAGCAAGGTCTGGAGCTCGTGGGTCATGATTTCTGTGCCTTCAAGATGTTTGTATCGCCGTCGGCGTTGCTCTTGATCTTCGGAAATGTCACTGAGTCCACTGGCATCTGGTACGAGGCCAATATTAATAGAATGACCTGCAAGACCATGACCGCGTCGCCATTCCATGAGAGCATCAATGAAACCATTGCCCGCAGAATAGTTAGCCTGTCCCATATTACCAATGACACTGGCCACGGAAGATAATGCGACAAAGAAAGTCAAGCCTTCCTTTTCTGAAAACAGATGGTGCAAATTCAGCGTTCCACGGATCTTGGACTGTGTGGATTGGGCCCAATCATCAAAAGTCATGTTCTCGAACATTGCGTCCTGGAAATAAAGGAATTAGATAGCGTTCACAGAAAAAATAGAAAAACAGAAAAAGAAATGAGGGTAACTTACCCTCAGAACGGTTGTACACTGGATCACGCCTGCGACAGTCCAGCCTTTGCTGCGAATCTTGTATGACAGGTGGTCAATGTCTCCCTGTTGGGAGATATCACAGCGTAGTACATCTATGCTACACCCGCGATCGCGAAGGAGATCAAGGGCTAGCTGTTGAGTAGTCTGTGTCCCGCCAGATCTTCCAAGGAAAACCAAATGGCGGGCCCCAGACTGCACTAAGGTATCAGCAAGCGCAAGGCCTAGATTACCCAATCCTCCTGCTAGAATATAGGTGCCTTCTACTGGCAAGCCAGTAAGATCTGGCAGTGGGAGTACAATGGGAACCTTTCCAGGAGCCTGGAGGTCCAAAATAGCTCGGGTGTTGGTCGCTTTGCAGTGTTTCAAAGCTCCCTGGAGATCAGAAACAGGGAACATGGAATAAGATTCCACGCGATCCAACATCCGATGCTGCTTCATGAAGTCAATCACATGTCGAACTGAAGCATGCAAGTTACCGGGCTTCTCTGAGAATGTTTTCTGCAGTCGCGGCGAAGAGAATGTGCAACCACTGTCGATGAAGCTCTCCGGAAGAGCACTCAACTTCATCTCGCTAGACAGATTAATGTACTGTCCCCCTTGGACTAGACAACTAGCAGCATTTCGACCCGGATACCCGCCAAGGAGGCAAATGCTGGCATCAACTCCACATCCATTCGTCAGCCTGGACACGCTATTTTCCAGGCTACCGTGAACACCTAGAATTCGATCCGCCAATGCCGGGTAGCGAGAGCGAAGGCTCTTGGTGGTATCTGAAGAATCCGTTGCCACGATGACTTGCATGTTCATGGCAAGGGCATAGTCTATCATGGCCAGGAGAGTTTGACTGATATGCCCAACCAAAAGCACCGAGGAACTTGAGCTGAGGCGACCGACTTGGGTGAGAATTTGATAAGCGTTGAGGTACGCGAGAGGGGTTGATATCGCCTTTGTTGGGTCGGTGTTTGCAGGAATTCTGATAGTGTCACTTTCCGAGACACGCATTGTTGTCAAGAGTCCCGAGTTCGCTGATGCCAGCGTTAACACTTTATCGCCAACAGCGGAGTCGTGTACACCAGATCCGATACGAGTTACTTTTCCAACAATCTCGAACATTGGAAGAGCTGTCTCTGGTGTCTTCCCGTGATTCCCGTTCAAATCAAAGATTGTGGCCATTTCAACCTTGATCTCGGTGTGGTCTGGCCGAAGTTGGTCTTCGACGAGTTGTTGTTCCTCCCAGCGTGCGTTGTCTGCGTCCTGGAATTTCAACTCAAGGGGCCTTGGATCAAGTGTTAGATCTGATAGTACGGGCCTAGGGCCGTTCACAAGAGTGTGCATGGCCTCATCCACCGCTGGGGTTTCAAGGACTCGTGGAACTAGGAGCCGACCGTTTGCCAGACGATACTCCAAATCTGGCCGGCGGGAATTTTCCTGTGTCGTGAGCTGCATGACTTGGAGAATGCCACAGGCCAGTCCAAACTTGTCTTCCAAATCTTCCACGTCCACCAATAGGTGCGGGATGGTAGTGTTCCACTGCTCATTGCGTAGTGTTCGCAAAAGGCCGCCTGTGGCACCGGATCCAACGTTGTCAACAGCCCCTTGGCCCCAGGAAGGGGACACCCAAAGAACATATTGAACTCGGATTAGCTCTTGTAGACGTTCCATGTCGTTTTCTGTCCAGCCGGATACCCAAGGATTTGCCAAGTCAAGCAACGAAATCACAGTCTTCCCTGCTAGTGTAGCCACGTGATCCAATCCAATAGGCATCAGGCGAACGTTGTGGGTGGCAAAGATCTTCTCGAGATGCTCAAAAACGGGGAAAGAGTTGGAATTGTCTGCTGGGCTCAAGACATAGATTTCAGAGTCTGTTGTCCATGAGACTGGCGTGCGGCGCGCGATAATAAACTTGCGATCTTCCGTCGTGCTGTGAATTTCGAGTCCGTCAAATTGCTGCAACTTCTCCGCTGCTGAGTTCAGGTCGGTATCTGACACGCGAATTGCTGCCAAACCTCCGTGTTCAAGGATGGTGGGCAGACACGACAGAATACCTTGAGTGATTTTGTCCTCCCACACCCTAGACTCATCGATCACGACCAAATCATATTTATCCTGAGCGAGCGAGGAAGATGGAAGTTCGTCGAGCGTAGCGAGGGGAATCAGGTGAGTGCCTGGGAGGGTGTCCTCTGCAGGAGTGGCGCCTTCCACCTGATTATCGGGGCCGCATGAAGCGATAGAGACCTTTACTAGACAAGGTCGCTTTCCGGCGCTTGGGATCAACTCTTGGAGATTCTCGATCCAAGAGGCCGATGACTGCGATGTAGTAATCAGTGCCTTAGCATCCCCGTTTGTATGGCACAGTCTCTTGATCCAGTCTGTCAGTTGGAGACTACTAGCTTGCACGGCCATCTTCTTGTTTCCATCATGGATTTGGCTTGTGACAAGGGGCGACTCTAAATGCTCCTCCCAAACAATCGAGGAATATCGGCTCTCCGAGGATGCTTCCTCTTGCTTTTGAGAATTAGGGTTGAAGGGAAGGCGACCGAGATGAACACCTTCAAATGTGATCCAGGGCTGTGACCACGATGGGTCCGACGCGATACAGTGGGATCGCGATTTTCCGTCTCGC